CCCCCGGGTTTCACTGCAGGCTCCCAACCAAAAAAAAAAAAAAAAGAGACAAAACTAAACAAAACATCAAAACCAAAAGTTGAGTGAGCGCTTGCGCCTGACGGGCTGCGACGAGGCCCCCTCTCTCCCAGCTCTGCCACGGGCTGCCTGCGTGTTTTCACTCACGTGCTTGTGTTTGCTCTTTGGCCTGGTGATACGTTTTGTGCCGTTGCCTCTGGCATCCCTGAGAGAACCCTGCACGAGGAGCCCGGTGCACCCAGGCGTGAGTTCTGCTCCTGGCCCTCCTGTGTGCCCCCCTGCACAGGTCACGTAGTCTGCCAGAGCCTGTGGTCTGCGTACAATGACAGCGGCCACTCGGCCCTGCGCACACCCCACGGAGTCCCGTGGGAACACCTGACAGCATGCAGGAAGCGATGTCTGTCCTCCCCCTTCCCGGATGCTGTTGGAGAAAACAGTAATGGCACGGGGAGCCCAGGACCCTCAGCCTGAGTGAGGTGGGCCTGTTTTCACTCAGTAAAACCGACCCCTGGGAAGGCCATGCCATGGTGTTAAGGCTCAGCCGAGCTCGACACCCACCTGACCCAGTCTGTGGCACTGGTCACAGCGGCTGACGTGGAGTCAGTGGGCAGCACGCACTGTAAAGGCAGACCCTCTGCGGGTTTCGCCCCCCAGGCTGGGGTTGGGTTACAGCCCAGCACTGCCTAGTGCGGGACCCTGGGCTTGTCCTGGGGCTGGACGGTGGTGCAGTGGTCAAGTGCGATACTCTGACGGCTGCTCCACTTGGGAGGGATCTGAGTTCACGACGAGAGGCCTCCCTGAGCACACTGGGCATGCGTGTGCCTGTGGTCTGGGCTGCTGGGCCTGGGCGTGGGTCACAGCGTGAAGACCCTCTGGGGGTGCTGTCTCCTGTGTCTCTCTGTCTCATTCATTTGTTGTCTGTTTCTCTCATTTATGAGAAAAATAAATAAAAAACTTTAGAAAAAAACAAAAAACAAAAAAAATGATCAACGGCCAGATGATCAGCACCCTCCCCAGGATGTTGTCTGTTTCATTTCAACTTTATAATCACCACAAGAAAGGACCTTTCTGCTCCCTGTTACAGAGGGGAACCTCAGTTCTCGGGAGCTAAGGGCTTGCTGGAGACCCGGCTAGCCAGTGGAAGGTGAGTGGGGGACAGATGGCCATGTGGCGCCCACTCTGCTCCTTCCTGGGTGGCCTGCTCCCCCCGGATCCTGCAGCCCAGGAACGCCGTGGGTCA